AGCCCAGAGTAGTAGCTCAGGGCAGTTCTGCCATCGTATTCATATCCACTTTTAATTATATGCAAATTAAGAGACAGATTATGAAAAATTTTAAGAAAAATGGTGGTAACTTCCAGGTCTTGCCATGCCACTGGTAAACAGGTGGCACACTGGTGGGCATGTCTTAGGGGAAGGTGCTCCCACCCCATCCCTGTTTTAGCTAGTGCTCAATTTGGTCTGGTATCTGAGCCCCACTTCCAGAGTTGAGTCCCACCTCCGAAGTCAAGTCCTGTCTCCTACTTCACACATTCTCATTAATAGAATATAGATGTACAGTTGATATTTTGTTTGCTAATCTGTGACCTTGCTGTACTCATTTATTGGTTCTAGGATTTTTTTGTAGGTATCTTAGGATTTTCCACATAGACCATTATATCATCTGCAAATAAGAACAGTTTTATTTCTTTTTTCCTGATCTACCTGCCTTTAAAAAATTTTTTTGCCTTATTGCACTGCCTAGAACTTCCAGCACTACAGTGAATTGAGAGTAGTCAGAGCAGACATCCTTGTCTTGTTCCTGATCTTTGACCACTAAATGCAATGTTAGATGTGGGTTTTTCTTGTATATTTCCTTTATCAACTTGAGAACAACCCCCTCTATTCCTATTTTTCGGAGAGTTTTTGCCAAGGTTGTGTATTAGATTTTGTCAAATGCTTTTTCTGCACTGATAATACCATTTGGATGTTTGGTCCCTCCAAATCTTATGGTGAAATGTAATCCCCAGTGTTGGAGGTGGGCCCTGCTGGGAGGTGTTTGGGTCATGGGGGCATATCCATCATGAATGGCTTGGGCTGTCCTCATGATAGTGAGTGAGTTCACAAGAGATCTGGTTGTTTAAAAGTGTGTGGCACCACCCTCTCTCTCTTTTGCTCCCACTCTCATCACGTGATGTGCTGGCTCCCCCTTTTTCTTTCACTGTGACTGAAAGCTTCCTGAAGCCCTCACCAGAAGCAGATGCCAGCACTATGCTTCAGGTAGAGCCTACAGAGATATGAGCCAATTAAACCTCTTTTCTTTATAAATTACCCAGCCTCAGGCATTTATTTACATTAACACAAAAAAATGATGTAATACAATTAATATTATCATGTGACTTTTCATCTTTAGCCTATTAATATGCTGAATCACGTTGATTAGTTTTTAATATTGAACCAGTCTTGCATTCCTGGAATAAATCCCATATGGTAGTGGTGTATAATTCTTATTACATATTGCTGAATTCTATATGCTGGTAGGTTAAGAATTTTTGTACCTATATTTATGAAGAATATTGATCTATAGTTTTCCTTCCTTTTGATGTCTTTGTCTAATTTTAGAATTGGAGTAATATTCACTTCATAAAATGATTTGGGAAGTTTTCCTTTTTCTTGTGTTTTTTGGAAGAGATTACGTAAAATTGATGTTAATCTTTTAAAAGTTTGGTGGAATTCTCCAGTGGACCCATCTGGGCTTGGAAGTTTCTTATACTGTATTTTTAAAATGAAAAAGTTAATTTTTTTAATAGTTATGGATAGGGCTATTCAAATTATCTATTTTATATTAAGTAAGTTGTGACAATTTGTGCTTTTCAAGAAATTGGTCCATTTCATCTAACTTGTCAAGTTTATATGTGTAGAATTATTTATCATATTTTCTTACTATTCATTTGATATTGGCAGGGTCTCTGATGATATCCCCTGTTTTGTTCTGATATCAGTATTTGTGTCATCTCTCTTTCTCAGTCTTACTAGATGTCTATCAATCTTACTGATATTTTCAAAGAACGAGATTTTTTCATAAATTTTCTCTATTATTTCCTGTTTTCAATTTCATTGATTTCTGCATCATTTCCTTCCTCTCTCCTTGCTTATTTTTCTCTCTTTTTTCCGTGTGTGTGTGTGTGTGTGTGTGTGTGTGTGTGTGTGTGTGTGGTGAGAGTTTAGACTAAGAATTCTAAACTTTTCCTCTTTTCTAATGTAATTATTTAGTGCTTTAAATTTTCCTTTCAGCACTGGGTTAGCTATATTCCAAAATTTTTGATATGCTGTATTTTTATTTTCATCCCATTCAAAGTATTTATCAATTTCCCTTAAGGCTCTTTTACTCATGGACTATTTAAAAGTTGTTTGGTTTCCAAGTGTTTGGAGACTTAACTGTTACATTCCTGTTACTGATTTCTAGTGTGATTCTATTATAATCAGATAATATACTCTGATAATTTTAATTATTATATAATTTTTGATTTGTCAAGTTCTCCTTTTAGCTCTCTCAACTTTTATTTAACATGTTTCAAAGCTCTGTTTTTTGGTGTATATACATTTAGAATTACCTGGTCTTCTTGGTGGATTGACTCTTACGATATAAAGTTCCCCTTAATCCTTTGTTTTGAAATATGATATTAATGTACCCACTGCTGCTGTATTTTTTATCCAGCCTTTTACTTTCAGTATATCTTTATTGTTTTATTTAATATAAGTTTCTTGTAGAGATATATAGTTAGTGGGCCATTTTGTGGTTTTTGGTGGTGCTGGTGGAGGTTTGTTTTTTAAAATCTACCAATCTCTGTCTTCTACCTGACATGCTTAGACCATTTAAACGTAATATACTTATTGATATATTAGGGTTTAAGTCTGCTGTTTTATTTTTGTTGTCTATTTGCTCTTTCTGTTGTTCACTTCTCTGTAGTATTTTTTCCCTACCTTCCTGGGGGTTATCTGAACACTAAATAAATTCTACTTTGACTTATTTATAGTCTTTTGAGTTTATCTCTTAATGGAATATTTTTGGTGACTGTTCTAGGTATTATATATGTATAACTTAGGACAGTCTACCTGTATAAACATTTTTTCAATTCTAGAGATGTGTAGAAAATTTACCTCTTTTTACATCTTTTTACCCTCTCCCATTAAATCATTTATTAAATATTTGCTCTACATACACTGAGTAATACATGAGACAGTGTTATAATTTTGCTTCAATCATAAAACTTAGAAAACTTCATGGGAAAAGGGAAGTCTATCGTATTTACCCATATTTATACTCTTTTCATTGCTCTTTCTTACTTCCTGATGTTTCAACATTTCTTCTTTCATCATTTCCTTTCTCTTCAGAGAAGTTTCATTTTAAAAGTTTTTTAATAGTAGATCTTCTGGTGACAGTCTTTTGGTGTTCCTTCATCTGAGAATATCTTAATTTTTTCTTCATTCCTAAAGGGTTATTTTTGCTGGATATATTCACTGGAGTTAGAATTACAGTTCTTTTCTTTCAGAACTTGAAAAATGTTGTACCACTTCCTTCTGGCCTCCATGGTTTCTGACGAGAAATCCACTATCAGTGGAGTTTGTTTCTTCCCTCTCATCAAGATGTCGTTTTCTTTCACTGCTTTCAAGACTTTTTTTCCCTTCAGTTTTCCGTAGTTTGTCTGTTGACTCTTCACATGGATTTCAATGAGCTTATTCTATTTTGGCTTTGCACATCTTGATTGGTAGGTTTATGTCTTTTGCCAGATTTGAGAGGTTTTCAGCTACTATTTCTTTGAACATTGTTAGCCCCACCCTCTCTCTCCTTTCCTGAGATTACAATATGAATGCTAGATCTTTTGTTATAATTCCACAGGTCCCTGAGGCTCTGTTCATTTGTTTTCAATCTGTTTTCTCTCTGGTGTTCAGATTGTTTAATTTCTATTGTTTTATTTGCATGTCCTCTGATTCTTTCCTCTGTACCATTTATTCAGCTTTTTAACTCATCCACTGATTTTTTTCATTTTGGTTATTATATTTTTTTAAATTTCCACTTTTTTTTTAAAGTCTTCTCTTTCTCTGCTGAGACATTATTATTTTCTTTTCATTTGTTTTGAGCATTTTGTCATTGTTTGTTGAAGCAGTTACATGGTGGCTGCTTTAAAATCCTTGCCATAAAATTTTAGCATATATGTCATGTTGGTTTTGTTTTTTATTGACTGCCTTTTATCATTAAAATTGAAATCTTCCTATATTTTGGTATAAGTGAACTTTTTATTAAAATCTGCACATTTGAGTATTATGTTATAAACTCTAGATCTTTTTTAAACCTTCTGTTTCTACAAGCCTCCTCTTACACCACCCCTGCAAAGGATGGGGGATGGTGCTCCCTTATTACTGCAAAGTAGGGGTGGAAGTCCAGATTTTTCACTTGACGTCCACTAACACCTGGTTATGGAGAGGAGACTCTTCATTACTGTTGGTGGGAATGGAATATCTGGCTCCCTACTAGACTTCTGTTGATACCACCCTGGCTGGGAAAGGCAGGCATGCCCCAGAACTGCTCTTGACATGAACTTCCTGGCATGGTGGTGGGTGACCTTGTTACTGCTGGGTGACTGTGATAGTCCGGACTTGGCCTTCCCTAACACGACCCCAACAAGAATGGGAAAGTCTCCTCATTACCACTGAGTGGAGGTGGATGTCCAAGCTCCTCATGTGGTCTTCACTGAAACTGCAGGGAATATGGTGAGGAATAGTCTCACTTGGGGATATCTATTCTCCCCACTAGGTCTTTGTTAACAAGTGTGGGGGTGGAGCTTCAGTTTTTTTCTGTGGTGTTTGGCTAAAGTAGAGCAGTTTTTGTCTAAATTTTTTCTGTCTTGCTGTGCTGCCACCTTTCTGATCCTGTGACTGAAGACAGCAGGCTTTTCCCCACTTTGTCTGTACCCATTGGTATTTCTGGGTTGCCAGCATGTAGATATATAAGACAAAATTAAAACAGCTAACTCACTACCATGTTTTTCCATGCATCCAAAGTTCCAAGGTCCCTGACTAGTCTGCCTTCTTCACCACCTTTCAGAGTTTTCTCATGTTTTCCGATATAGCATGTCCAGAGTTTTGAGCTTTAGTTAGAGGAAGGCATAGAGAAAAGCACTCTACTCCATCTTTCAGAAGAAGAAATACCTCTCTCTTTCATTTAGAAGATGGAATTCTTATTGTTTTATATAGAATTCTTCATTGACATTCTTTTTCTTTCAGCACATTGACTATGTTATCCCACTGCCTTCTGACCTCCATAGTTTCTGATGAAAAGTCAACTGTAAATCTTTTTTATAAGACCTTGTATGTGATGAGTCATTTTCTCTTGCTGCTTTTATGATTTTCTCTTTGTCTTTGGCTTTTTACCAGAGTCTGACAATGACATATTGAGGTATGGATCTTTTAAATTTTCTTTTAATTGGGGTTTTTTGAGGTTTTTGGATATGTAGGTGTTAATTTCCTACTGCTGCCATAGTAAATTACTACAAATAGTGATTTAGAATAGCTCTGGAGGTCAGAAGTCTAACATGAGTTCACTGGGCTAAAATCAAGGTGTCAAAAGGGCCACATTCCTTCTAGAGGCTTTAGAAAAGAATTATTTTCTTGCCTTTTCAAGTTTTAAAAGATTGATTATATTTCTTGGCTTGTGGCCTCTTCCTACATTTTCAAGTCTATCAATTGCCTCTCAAGTCTTAATCACACAGCACTTCCCTGATACTCCTTCCTCTGTCTTATAAAGACCTTTGTGATTACACTGGGTTCATGCAGAGAATCTAGGATAACCTTCTCATCTCAACATCTCTAACAATTATATCTGCAGTTTCTTCTGGTAACATATTCACAAATTTTGATGATTAGAATATGAACATCTTTGAAGGGTCATTGTTCTGCCCACCACAGTATCAAATGTGTTTTAAAATCAGATTTGGGAAGTTTTAAAATATGTATTTGAAGGTGGAAAAATCAACTCAAGGCAGGTTAGTAAGAGAAAAAGCATATAACTCTATTAACATGTGCACAGAGAGAGCCACAGAATGTCTTCCCACCTCCAAGGGTGTGCAGAAGTTTATATACCATCTGGAGGTTACAGAAAGAATGGGGGCTCAGAGTATGGCCAAAATCAGGTTTTGGTGGTAAATCAGGTTATAGCAGCATCTGGTTATGGGAGGAAAAGAAGATACTTGGCTAGCAAAGATGATCTCATTATATAAGTGAAATCTCACAAGTAGCAGCCCTCAGAGAGACTAGATGGTAAATGTTACTTTCAGACCTTTAAAATGTGTCAGACTGTCAGTTAATCTTTTCTAGCTCCAGACAAGAGAAGGCCTGGCTGCGTCAATGCAGATTCTCTACAGATACAAATTTTCTCCACAAAAGACAGCTTTGCTGGACTACGTATGTTTGCTGGCTTTTTGACAGCCATCTCAGCCGTCTCAAAATATGTTAAATAAATATATTTTGGGTTAAAATATTTTTATGTCTTTCAACGGGGTGGAGGGATAAGGAGAAGTTAGTTAAAGGGTACAAAAATAGTTATTATAGATGAAGGAACATGTTCTAATATTCGATAGTACAACAGGGAAATTATAGTTAACAATAACTGACTATATATTTCAAAATAGATAGAACAGAACAGTTGTAATGTTACCAATGCAAAGAAAAGGTGGTCAGAGATGATAGATACACCAGTTACCCTGATTTGATCATTACACATAGTATACAGGTATCAAATATCACATGTACTCAAAATATGTACAACTATTGTATATCAATAAAAATATTTTTATGTAGGCAAGTAATTTTTACATCCCTTTCTACATACTCTCTTTTTAGTACTCTCATTATGCAAATGTGTTATTTTGATAGTGTTCCACAGGTCTCTGAGGCTCTGTTCATTTTTTCTTATTCTTTATTCTTTCTATCCTCAGACTGCATAATATCTATTGGCCTAGTTTCAAGTTTCCTGAACATTCTTCTGAAATTATCTTTACAAAAATTGTTCACAGTGAGAGAAATCTAAGCTGACTCCATCTTGCTTCTAACCTCACAAGCTAATTGCCTCTGTTAACTTTTAAACAAAGATGTTAACAGTCCCTTCTTGAAACTAACCCCTTCCTTGCTAAGGGACAAAAACCACCTTTGTAAGACTAATGAAAGGCCACAAAATTAGGATTATAGGAGGAGCCTGAATTCTGCTAAAATATACACATAGTTAATGATAACAAGCCATTGTTCCCTACCTCACCTTTCTATAGTTGTTTACTGCTCTGGAGATCACAAGATTTGTAACTTCTCCAATTGCTCCTGTAGATAACATGACTATTGTCAAAACCTAAAATTGGTGTTTGAAATATTTTTCAGACTTGTGTATTCTGGTGACAAACTGATTCCACCCAGACCCATGACTTACAACAAGGAACTGGCTCAACCAGTCCTGTGAGCCCCCTGCCAGAAACTGATTCAGCATGTGAAGATAGTTTGTACACTCCTATGATTTCATCTGCAACCAATCAGCAGTACCCATTCCCTAGAACCCTGCCTGCCAAATTATCTTTAAAAACCCTAGCCTCTGAGCTTTTAGGGAGGCAGATTTGAGATTATCTCCTGTCTTCTCACTTGGCTGGTCCTGTGATAATTACATTTTTACTGCTGCAATACCACCGCTTCAGTGAGTTGGCTTTTCTGTTTAGCAGGCCAGAAGAACTCATTGGGCAGTTACACTTTTCTCTGCTAAAACTACCGGTTTAACTCATATAGAGAATTTTTCATTTCTGTTATTGTACTTTTCAACTCCAAAAATTCTATTTGTTGATTTTTACAACTTTTATCTCTTTATAGACACTCTCTATTTGGCGAGACATAGTTTTTATACTTTCCTTTAACTATTTTAACATAGTATTCTTTTTTAAACTTATTTTTAATAGCTGCTTTAAAGTCATTGTCTACTAAATCCAACAGCTTGTCCCTCTCAAGAATGTTTCCGATCAAATGCAGTTTTTTTCCTATGTGTGGGCCATACTTTCTCATTTCTTTGCATGTCTGATTTTTTGTTTTTGTTAAAACTGGACATTTTAGAGGAGAAGACATTGTAGCAATATTAGATTCAGATCCTCCTTCTATCCTCCAATTTTGTTATTGCTTTGGGGTTTTTAAATTGACAGATAAAGAGTATATATATTTATCATGTACAATATGATGTTTTGAAACATGTGTATGTCATGAAATGACTCAATCAAGCTAATTAAAAAAAAAAAATCCTGCTTGATACTTTTTTTTTTCCCCATGACTTTTCTAAACCAATTCTGTAGATTTTGTATTCCTGGCGTGTGCAGCCACTGAGTTTCCTGATTACTTTTTAAAAATTCTCATTTTTACTTTCAAGCCTGTCTTCTTAGGGGTCACCTCTAGGTCAACATAGGTTGGTAATTATCCAATGATTGGTTGGAAGATTTTCTTAATGCCTTGATCCAGTGTCTTCAATGTTTTGCCAAGGAGATTTGTATGCGAAGGCACATCTTCAAATCTAAAGTGGTTTATAAGTCAGCATTAACATTTACTTCTTGCTTGCACAGGGCTACAAGTTTGCCCAAATGTAAGTTACTGGATCCTTCTCTAGTTTTCCCTGACCATGCACTTGGCCCTGTGCAGCACGTGTAGCCTTCTGGATCTCCAGGAATATGTCAGAGCTTTACAAAGTCCTCTGTTATCATATGACTTGTTCTCCAAGTCACCCTTTTAGATTTTTGGCCAGGCTCTTTTTTGTTATGGGCTGAATTGTGTTCCCCTCAAAATGGTGAAGTCCTCACCCCACTGTCTTAAAACATGGCTGTTTTTGGAAACAGGGGTTTAAAAAAGGTAATTAAGTTAAAATGAAGTCATTACGGTGAATTCTAATCAATGTGACTGGTGTCCTCATAGGAAAAGGAAATTTGTACACAGATATGCGCACAGGGAGGACAATGTGAAGACAGGGAGAGAATGGCCACCTACAAGTCAAGGAGAAATGTTATAAAAATATTGACAGTGCTCTGAGGTTGGGGGTTTTTACAAAGCTTGAAACAGGTCAAACTTCTTCACTGGCTGCCAGCTCTTCACAGCTACCACCCCAGTACTAGGGATTGGGTATTACAGACATGAACCGATGTGCCCAATCTCTTATTTCATTTTGGATATTTTCTATTAGTATGCCTTCACATTCACTAGCCTTTTGCTATATTTAATTTGCTGTTAATCTCATCCTGTGTATATTTTATCTCAGATATATCTTTACTTTAGAAATAAAGTATTTTAATATCTTCCATGTCTCGTTATCATATACATAATTTCCCCTACCTTCTTGAACATATAAATGTATTTATAATAGCTATTTTAACATCATTGGTTTATAAGTCTATAATGTGTGTCATTACTAAGTCTTTTAAATTATGTTTTCTTTTTAATATAGGTTGAATTTCCTGCTTCTTTGTATGCCTGCTGGTTTTGGATTGATGCCAGACACTGTGAATTTTACATAGATAAATGAAGACGTTTTAGTATTCCTTTAAGTATTTTTGGACTTTGTTCTTGGACACAGTTAAATTACTCAGAAATAATTTGATCCTTTTAAGACTAGCTTTTAAGCTTTGTTAGGTGAGTTTAGAATAGCCTTTTGTCTACTGTCAATTTTGCCTGTCTACTGAGGTATCTAATGAGTCTACTTTGTGTGTGTTAGGATTTCTTTGCACACTGATTGGTGCAAAGACGAACTATTCCCAGCCCTGTATGAGCTCTCCAGATTATTCCAACTGATTCTCTCTAATCTTTTCCTTGGTTCTCATGTGCTGATTAGCATTCTGCTGAAGAGGGAACTCCGTGGATCTCTAAGACTCTCATTTTATGTGCATCTCCTCTCCAGGGCTCTGCCATGCAAATTCTAGGTACCTTGATCTCCCCCAAACTCTGAATTTTCTCTTATTAATAAAGGGAGACCACTGGGCTCCACTTACGTACCCCCTCCTTGTGCTGTGGCCTGGACATCCTCTCCACGCAGTGAGCTGATGCATTCACAGGGTTTACCTCCTTTGTTTCCCCTGTCTCAGTATTCTCTGTCCCATTCCACTCATTGTTTAATATCTGAAAACACATTTTCTTTTATTTTTTCCCCCAAGTTTTTAATTGTTAAGACAGAAGGGAAAATCTGGTTGCTTTCATTCCATTATGGCTGGAAGAAGTTCCAAAACCTGAGGGTTTTTTTTGTTTTTTTTTTGTTTTGTTGTGTTTCGAGAAGGTATCTCACTCTGTCACCCAGGCAGGAGTGCAATGGTGTGATCTTGGCTCACTGTAACCTCTGCCTCCCAGGTTCAAGAAATTCTCTTGCCTCAGCCCCCTAAGTAGCTGGGATTACAGCCACATGCCACGATGCCCAGCTAATTTTTATATTTTTAGTAGAAATGGGGTTTCACCATGTTGGCTAGGCTGGCCTTGAACTCCTGGCCTCAAGTGATCTGCCTGCCTCAGCCTCCCAAAGTGCTGGAATTACAGGTGTGAGCCACTGCACCTGGCAAAAACCTAATTCTTAAAATGGACAGTTGAACACTTGGGATTGGCATTCAAGGGGCTTCAATTACAGGGAAGTAAAGAAGGGCCAGGAACATTGTTTGTTGCTCTTTATATCAAATGAGAATTTAAGATTCAGCCATCCATCCAGATATAATGTTCAGAAGTCTGAACAGCAGGGAATATAGATGGAACTCAAACATGTCTAATGTATGATAGAGACTAAATATGTCCTGAGTACACCAACTGAGAAACCATTAACAAATTATCACAAATTTAGCAGCTTTAAACACCACAAATTTTATTATCTCACAGTTCTCCAGGTCAGAAATCCAAGTACAGCATGGCTTGACTTATTCCTTGGCTTGGGTTTCTCAAAAGACTACAGTTAAGGTGTTAGCAGGGTTGTGTTTCCTTCTGAAGGTTCTAGGAGAGAATCTTTTTCTAAGCTCATTCAGGTTGTCAGCAGAATTTAGTTCTATGTAGCAGAAGGATATAAGCCCTACTTGGTTTTCCGGCTGTCAATCATAGGTCATTCTCAGCTTCTAGAGGCTGCCAGTGTTCCCTAGCTCGTGGCTCCCTTCAAAGACAGCAATGGCACGTTGTGTCTTTCGTGTTTTGGATCTCTCTGACTCTGCTTCTTCTGCTTCATCTCTTTTGCTGTATGTCTTCTCACTCTAGTTGGGAAAACGTGTCACTTTTAAGTGCTCAAGTGATTAGATTTGGCTGACCCACATAACCCAGAATAATCTCCCTATATCAAAGTCCACAGTCTTGAGTACATTTGCAAAGTCCATTTAACATAACACATTCTCAGGATCCAGGCACTGGGGCATAGACCCCTCTCTGGGCATTGGAGGAAGTGGTGGTAGAATTATTTTGTCCACCACATCAGTGTACAGGCTAAAATCCCCATCTTATCCTTGACTTTTAT